CAGCCCACCACGCTCCGGGCGCGGAGCGTGGTGGGCTGGCTGGGCGGCTTCCTGCTGCTGCCAGGTGAGCTCGGTGGGCAGGGGTCCCGGGGGGGCAGGTTCCCAGGCTTGGGAACTCGGAGGCGGGGCGTCCCCAAGTTTCGGCCCCGTGGGCGCCCCGAAAGAGACCCTGTGCGGCACGGAGCACAGGCAGGTAACCCCCTCGCCGCGGCGGGAGGCGCACACGCGGAGTTGCGCTGTCTGGATCCTGGGTGGACCACCATCACCCCCAGTCCGCAGCGGGGTTACAGGCTGTCCAGCCGGGACACTGAAGCGGGATGGGGGCACAGCTGCTGTCAGATCCCGGGAGTACTAACAGAAGTCGGATTTTGTGAAAGACCCAGACACTCCGAGGTGTCTGTCCCAACCCTCGGGGGACAAACCCCGAGTCCTCCACAGCCGTCGCTTCCTCCCTCTGCCCCCTCCTCTGACGGGCCAGCTCCCCGTCCCCACGCCTTCCTCTTCACACCTCCACACCCTGACATCTGAATTTTGCCCCTCAGCTCCCCAAATAGTTTCTGGAGTCTCTCAGCAGCATGTGTCTCTCTGGGCGCTACGCTCTTGGGATTCCCCATCCTCAGACGAGTTCTGCTTGAGGTCCTCTTTCTTCTCTCCTTCCTTATCATGAGACTTTGAGAGAGTCCCTGGCAGACTGGTGTTGAATAATTACTGCCACACTTCATCTCTGATGACTCCAGGATAAGTGGTTTAGAATTTTTTACGTGAAAACTAAAATAATAATAATAATAGTAATAATATTTTCTGACCCTAGCCCAAGGCTATACTCTTTGCGACCTCAGGCCCACTCACGCAAACGTCTCCCTGATAACCCTTCTTGAGTCTCCATGGTGGATCCAGTCTGTTGCAGCTGATCTGAGACTCCTGGGTTCCCTGCCCTGCCTGTGGACCCCCCCCCCCACCAGGGCTCCAGGGCCTTCAGCCAGAAATGGCCATTAACCCTGACTGGTCCCCATCAGGTCTATATGGAGTGTATAATTTATAAAAATGGATCTGAAATCACCTGACCCCTTGTCCATTCCTACCACTCAAATTTCAGCCACCACCATCTGTCCCCAACTATCATCTACCTCCAAATTTCTTCTCATTATTGCTTCAGACAAAACATAGCCTCCTCAGCTTAGCTAATACCCTCCACCCCCACACCACGTTTGAAGATGAGGCTCTGGGAGGCTCATATTGGCTGTAGTCATTTTGCTGATCTCCTTTTTGAGGAAAACATTGCAGTCTTTCCCCACTGCCCCTTTATTTATTATTTTCTTTTCAGCTCTAGGAATGATTCCACCTCCTAAGAATGTTAAGATGAATTCAGTTAACTTCAAGAACATTCTACAGTGGGAGTTGCCCGCTTTCCCCAAGGAGAATCTGACATTCACCGCTCAGTATGAAAGGTAGGGCTGGCGGTTGTTTACGTGAAGGCATCAAGGACTGTGACCCTAGGCTGGAAGTCGGAGGGAGGGAGTCTAACGCTTCCACCTGTGTGGCTGTGACAGCCCGGGGGAGTCATTCTGTTGGCCCTTTTCTCTCTCTGAAGGAAGATACTGTAGTCCGCGCTCTCTACCCCTCCCTCACACTCCAGGTCTTGCTCTGCCGGCTGTGTCATCCAGGGTAGTAGGGAAGTCACGATGCAGCCCAGGCTGTCCTCAGACTGATGTATCTGAGGACAGCCATGCTGCTGTCATTCCCAGTTACGCAGCTAACAGTGAAAAGTCAACAGGGTGCTGTAGTGGATGCTGCCTGAAAATCCCAGAGCAGTCAGGAAGGCACTTGCTTCACACCACCTACCCGCCACTGCAGGCCTCCAAGAACATTCGAGCATCGGCCTCCACCACTGCAGGCTCCTCTACTTGTCTTGCCTGTCAGCAGGTCCCAGCACCTGGGGAAGGGTACTGCCAGCCTTCCCCAAGAGCCTGCCCTTTGTCACTGGTCATAGGCTGGATGACAGGTGACACACCAATAGCATCAGGATGCCCAAGGGTCAGCCAGCACAAGTGACTCAGAACCGTGGGAAGACAGACAGGTCCTTCAGCGAGACAGGAGAACCTTCCCGTCCAGAGCTCCGTGGCCCCGCCCTCTTTTCCATGCAGCTGACATTTTACACACACACACACACACACACAAGGGTGACAAAGTTCAAGAAGGAACAGATAGTAGAATAAAGTGACCCATGCTTACACGCTGGGTTTTTAATGTTTTTCTTAGTTTGAAATAATTTCATACAAACTGAACATTTCAACTTTGTTTGTTTGTTTTGTTTCGTTTTTCAAGACAGGGCTTCTCTGTGTAACAGTCCTGGCTGTCCTGGAACTCACTCTGTAGGCCAGGCTGACCTCAAACTCACAGAGATCCGCCTGCCTCTGCCTCCAGAGCGCTGGGGTTAAAGGCGTGCGCCACCACGGCCCAGCACACTTCAACATTTTAAGTACAGTAATAAAAACTAGAGCACCTACATTGAGATTTATCGGGTTTTAGTATTTGCTATATTTTTCCTCCCTGAACTCTCTGCCCTACTCTGTTACTTGCTTCTCTCGTTGCTATGACATCTGACAAAGCGACATGAGGAGGGAGGGAAAGGTTGTGGGGGGCTCGGTTTGAGGGTCCAGCCACCACTGCAGGGAGGGCGCCTGTCCCACACAGGCTATCCAGTCAGGAAGCGGAGAGAAAACTGTTCCCTCCTTTTTAGTCAGTCTGAGGCCTCAGTTCCTGAGAAAGCGCTGCTCACATCCAAGCATCCAGGATGTGTCCAGCCTTCCTGCAAACACTCTTGTAGACATACTCAGGGGCCGCTGCGATGCTGATCTTAAATTCCATCAAGGTAACAATGAAAATTCACCACTGTGCACGCATGTGTTTCCGTGTGTGCTTCAGAAAAACAGGGTGTTCTTTCCCACCGCAGGATAGTTATCTATGGTCCAGAGTCCAGGGATAGACGGAAGGCCTGCAGAGTCTCTAGGGAGGTGGCTTTTGTCATTGCCTCTCCGTGCTTTCTCTCTTGGTCTGGAAAAGCATAGCAATTTCACTGTGGAAAATTAGCTTCCTCTTCTATCAGCTGGAGTTGTTGCTGGAATGAAACACCTGAGCTGGGCCACAGGTATCTAGCTGTCGGTGGCCTTGCTGGCAGAGTCACAAAGCAGTGCAGCAGGGATGTCACGGGCAAGTGATAGAAAGCATGCATGCATATGCTGGTACTGCTTTTTCTTTAATAAAGCCACCAACATTTAATCATATTACACATTTGCCAGCAAAAGTGCTCATCGGTGGCAAAAAAAAAAGGACCGAATGACCTTAGAAATACATGTGTCTGCCACCTAGTATATTAGGTGAACAGAATGGCCAAGGAAGAGAGAACCCCTCAATGAAATGACCCCTGGACTTTGCCATCGTAGACCGTAAGGTTGGCAGCCTTGAGCAGCTGGTCGGCTGGCAAGATGTTTGTGACGTGGGAAAGGCAGGTTGTAGAATACTGTAATCTCTGCAGTCCCTACCTGCTTTTCCAAAGTTCTGGGTATTAGTTGTGATTCAGTGAGCTGTGATGTACTCCCTAGACATCAACAGAACTGCATGTGTTAAGGCAGCTTGCTGATCTTGCAGAGGATCGGAGTTCGGCTCTTGGGTACCTGTGCCTCCAGCTGCAGGGGATTCAGTGCCCACTTCTGGCCTCCAGGAGTTTATGCACACACACACACACACACACACACACACACACACACACACACACACAAATAAAAAGAAAATAAACCCTTCTGAAAGGCGTGAAAGTGAGCTGAACACACACACATGCATTCTCTGCTCCCCTAACCATTTACTTTGAACCCCAGATGCCTTGACTTCCCTGTGGTGAGGGACTGAAATCTGCCCCCGTGGGCTAGGATAAACTTTCTGCCTTCAACTGATTTTGTCAGAATATTCTATCATAGCTACAGGAAAACTAACCAAAACAGACAACGAAGATGGCTGGCCCAATGGGCTCTCACACCTAGACATGAAGGTGTGGTGGGAACCAGTCAGACAGCTCTGTGCTTACCGGGAGGGATCTCATGTTTTCTTAGGTGGGGGGGCAGCTAATTACACCCCCAGGGCTGAATTCCACTTGCCACCCTCTTGCTGTGGTTGCTGCTGTTGCTGTTGTCTTGAGGATGGATGAGTTGTTCAGTAAACTTTCCAGAAACATCGCATTGTGACTCATTCTTGGGACATTTTTCGAAGTTATCTAATTATTTACTAATCTGTGTGTCCGCCTCTCACAAATCATAGGCCAGGGCTTTCTGAAATGCACACTCCAGGAAGGAAGGAAGCTTTCTCAGTCCAGTGTGCTGAATGCTCAGCCTGGGGGTTGGAGCCATAAATGCTTGCTGGGCTATTGAAACCTCTGTTCCCAAGATGTCTATTTTTGTTTAACTCAATTTCTCCACCGATTTTTTTGGCTATAGGATAGACTGTATTGATGTGCCTTGTGATTCCTGAGGGATCGTTAAGATCTCAGGAAACATGCAGTTTGAGAAATATTAATTTCCTTGTGCATACCATTTATCCAAATTAGTGATTAAGAATTTTCCAGGCATAGTGGTGCACACCTGAAACCCCAGCATTTGGGGTGTTGAGCAGGAGGATCTTAAGTTAGAGGCCAGCCGGGGAGACTCTCTCGGAAAGCATGAAACAAATACAAGCAGACAGAGACGCGCATCTTCCCTTCGCCGTCGCCGTCCTGCGTCTGTCTTTGGTGTCACGGGGAATAGCGCGAGCAGCAGCCCGGAGACCAAACTTCCCTGCTCTTGTCTTTCTGATTGTGTAGTTACCGGGATTTCCAAGATCAGTGCAAGAACACTGCCTCAACCCAGTGCGACTTCTCCTTTCTGTCCAAGTATGGTGACCACACCGTGAGAGTCAGGGCAGAGTCTGCAGACGAGCTCTCCGAGTGGGTACGAGTCACCTTCTGCCCTATGGATGACAGTAAGCCATTTGTTCTTTGTTTCCTTAGACACAGTCATTGTACCATGCTTTTGTCCACACTGGTGGTCCATGAGTAAGGATTCTTAGCGTCCTCAGATGGATGGCTTATGCAATACCCATCCTCGTATACAGCAAAGAAGCTGTGTCCTCAAAGACATCCATGGGTGAAGCAGGAAAAGAACAGACGCGTCGTCAGTAAAATAAATGAATGTAAATTTGACGACTTCACCACCTCACGGATGTGAATGAGTTAGGGCCAGCACTCCAAGGGGAGGAAATGGAGAGGGGTGACAGTCTGCTGGAAGAAAGTCGCTGTGGAATTAGGCATTAAACCAAGAATATGGGCCTGGAGAGGTGACTCGGTGGTTAAGAGCACTGGCTGCTCTTCCAGAGAGCTCAGGTTCAAGTCTCAGCCCCCACATGTCAGCTCAGAACAGTGTGACCTTCCAGCCTCATGGGACCCAACAGCAGTTCTGGCCTCTGGGCCCTTAGGACACAGAACATACCTACAAGCAAGACACCATACACACAAAATTAAAATCAAATAAAAATTAATTTTTAAAATGTGACAGAAGACAAGCAGTTAGAAGTAGATGCCAGGAGAGAAGGCTCAGTGCAGAGAACAGTTGCCTGGTCAGAAGTGAGGGCTGTGGGGACAAACATGTCCAGAGTATCGGGTTTGGAAACCAATTAAATCACCATACAGCAACTGGGAGAACGGAGAGGTCAGAGGTCACAGAACGTCAGGAAGAAAGCTCACGTGAGGCCCTGGCAGGAGCATCAGAGGGAAGAACCGTGTCTGTGAGATTGCCCATAAACATGTTATTACAAGTGGGCTCTGCCACTTCCACAGTGAGAGCCACCCTCAGACGGAGCGAGACTGAAGCCCATTCTCTTCCCGCTTCTATCCTAGGACAAGAGCAAAACTCTTATCTCTGCAGCTGGAAAGGCTCAGAGTTAATTTTCTTTTCAAAAGAACAAAGGAAACAAATGTTTAAAAAATACAGCTCAGTGTTTGCCAGGCTCCAAAACAAAACTCTCTTCAGTGCTGTTACGTTCCGGCAAACCCGTCATAAACTGAAGATGTCAGAAATCAAACATGTGCTTGGCAGGCCTGTCTTCCGCACCCTAGCGCAACAACACAGCACAGTGGAAGACTGCTTTTTCTCTCCAGATCCCCGGACTGAACAGGGTGGTGGCGGCGCACAGCCATCTGCCTGCATTGAAAAGGAAATCGAACCACAGATCCTTAGCTCGAGGGCTACTACAATTCAGAGGTAGAAGAAGTACAGCCCCTGTTTAATGTTGGTCTCGTTCATACCATAAGCCAAACCATTGTACGTTGGGGACCATTTGATATACAGGCTTCTGCTCCAGTGATGTCTAGCTGTGCCTGGCCGTGTCTAAAATCCTACGTTACATCCATCCCATCGAGACCAGTTCCCTGTAGACACAGATCCAGGAGCATGACCCACGGTCACACATGTAAAAGTGGATCATGACCCATGGTCACACATGTAAAGATGAATCATGACCCACGGTCACACATGTAAAGGTGGATCATCACCCACGGTCACACATGTAAAGGTGGATCATCACCCACGGTCACACATGTAAAGGTGGAGCATGACCCACGGTCACACATGTAAAGGGGAGAGAACAAAGATGCTGACACAGGCCCCTATGGCTAATTAGCAGCAGCCCCCCAAAGTAACAGTGGCCAAAGAGGAGAATACGGGACAGAACCCAGGGTGCTTTCCCGGGGTCTTCTGTTCTTCCTTCTGTGGTTATTTTTGAGCACCTACTGTGTGCTCAACATGGCCTTAGTTTCGAAGCTACAGCAACAAAAAAAGAACAATTGTTGCCCTCATGGAGTATAATAGACTCACAGGAAGACTGACAGTGACCCAGCATGTGGATAGTTTAGGACTCAGTGTGGCTTTGACGCTCACAGGGAAAAGGAAGGAAGGGATGCCTCTCTTCCTGTAATGCTCCCAGAAGAGAGGCTTGAATGGCGATCCAGGTGGAGTGGCGAGCCTAGCCACGTCATAGCTAGTGAAAGAAAAGCTATCAAATACATACACTTATAGACAATAAATATGAGTGCTCTCTACAGACAGTAGAAATCTCATTTGTAGCTTTACGGCCAGAAAACAAAAGAAAATTTGAGCCAGGAGAAGGAAGAAAACAGGGAGAAGAAGCTAATACAATTAAAAATTTAAAATTAGACTTTTTGTCAAGCATGGTGGTCCTGCCTGTAGCAACAGAACTGAGAAGGCTTAGGTACACGTTTGAGCTAACACAAGCTATGTACAAGGGCAGCCCCCACCCCGCAAAAAAAAAAAGCTATTTTTACAAACAATGCAAAGCAATATAGTTGAAATAATCTTAAATATATTCGGTATCACTGTGAACATGAATGGATTAAATTTGATTGACAAGGACAAAGGTTATCGAATCTTTTTAAATAGGCAAAAAAAAAAAATCCGTCCATGTCCCTTAGCAACATCACTCAGTGCTGTAACAGTGGCCTGCAGAGACCAGTGTTACCCTCCAATAGATTGTTGCACATATATAAAAACTGCTGTTCAAGTGAAGTGTTTAAAATGTGATTTGTTTTTGATTGTCATTTTATTGTGTTCTTATACTTAGCCATCATTGGACCTCCTGAGATGCATATAGAATCTCTTGCTGATTCTCTGCACATGCGTTTCTCAGCCCCCAAAATTGAAAGTGAACCTGAGAAGTGGACCATGAAGAACTTGTATAACTCGTGGGCCTATCGGGTGCAATATTGGAAAAACGGGACTAGCGAGAAGGTGAGCTGGGCTGTCGTGCGCATTTCAGATGTAGGACCCATGCTCTGCTCGGTTCGGTAGGCCACGATAACAGGAAAAGCCACGCAGGGGCTGTGGTGGTGTATTCGTGAGGGAAGGGCTTGGCTGGGGTGGTGTATCCGTGAGGGAAGGGCTTGCTGTGCAAACGTGACAACCAGAATCTGGAGTCCCTAACACCCAAGTGAGAAGCCAGGCATGACGGTGCCCAGCTGTAATCACAGTGCAAGATGGGGGCAGGAGAATGCTGGGTACTCACTGGCCTGCAGGCTTAGTCCGTGGGTGAGCTCCAGAGAATGCTGGGTACTCACTGGCCTGCTGACTTAGTCCGTGGGTGAGCTCCAGAGAATGCTGGGTACTCACTGGCCTGCTGACTTAGTCTGTGGGTGAGCTCCAGTGTCAGGGAGTGATCCTGTCTCAAAAACAAGGGGAACAGAGACAAAGGAGGACACCTGATGCCAATCTGGCTCCCATACACACACACCTGTGCATGCACACAGACACGTGACCAGGTTGAGTCTCGCAGAGAGGCAACACCTGGTGCCCAGGGAGTCTAAAGCCTGGTCCTTTAAAAGCCAAAAGCTCCTGGACTCCCGTCCATCAAGGAACACACATAGGGCAGACTCTCAGGATGAAGGCCACACAGCGGACTTCCTCTCCTTGAAAGGAAGTCTCAGGAGGCACAGGGCATCGTCAGCATTTTGCCAGGGGAAGCTGCACCCCTCTTTCCCCACAAACCACAGTCACTTCATGGTTAGAACACCTCCCGACTGCTGACATGTTTAAGAACAGTGCCATTTTTAACCCTTCCTATCCAATTTTTTCCCTGTTGTTCTCTTTAGGAAGCATTCTTTTCAAACAAACTTTATTGCATATGTTTCTTTATGCTGTGGCGCATGCCACAGTCCTGGCGATCCTATTATCAGGACTTCACGGCTGGGTCACTTCACAGCTCAGGGGACAGTTCTTTTCAAATAAAGGCTGAAGCCCCAAAGTCTGGTTGGAATATTGCTTCTGTAACTGTGTTGCTGGTCACATGACCCCAGCTTCCTCAGCTCTAACAACGGGCACAACAACCGACTTCACTCCCAAAACAGGAAGAAAAGCCCAGTTCGTGGAACGGTTATGGGGTTTGCTGACAAAGGCCAAACGTTTCCCATTATCTGCCAAAGTAGGAGTCTCTCTTCTCTTTTTGCAGACATGTTTATCTATTATTAGTCAGACAGTGCTTCTGCGATAATATCGTTTGTGGTCCTGGACTGACATATGTGCTGTACAAACGAATCCCAATAAATGTTCATCTGCTTCTTCCCAAGAGCCTGAGAGTCTTAGGATGATATAATTAAACACACACGCGCGCGCACACACACACACACACACACACACACACACACACACACACTGAAGAGCCAAACAAATCTCAAGTTAATTTTTTCACCCAAAAAATCTTCCCTAGACAGGAACTTTGCTGTAGTCTGTTCCCATGCTGTAAGAAAGTGGACAGTTTATGAATGAAGATTCTAGATCAAAGGAGTCCAAGGTCAGGACACAGTGGCAGCCCAGTGCCTCCTGAAGACCAGCTCACTCTGTTCCCTAGGTAACGCCTGAGGCTGTATCCTTTGATGGCCAAGGTGGAGGTCAAAGCAGTGACAGCTCCCTGGCCCCTTTTGTAAGATCATTAATGGTATTCACAAGAGCTCCTGCTGGTCACCTCCTGAAGACCACAACTTAAAAACTTTTTAAAAAATATTTAATTTAAATTTTCTTCATGTGTGTGTTTGTGTGTGTGTGTGTGTGTGTGTGTGTGTGTGTGTGTATTTAATTATACCATCTTAAGACTCTCAGGCTCTTGGGAAGAAGCAGATGAACATTTACACACACACACACACACACACACACACACACACAGGTCAGAGGACAGTTCTCTCTGTGTAAGGAGTTGGTTCTCTCCTTACACCATGTGGGTCCCAGGTTGAACTCAAGTCATCAGGCTTGGTGGCGGACACCTTTACACATTAAGCTATCTCGACAGCCTGGCCCTCCCTTTTAATATGGTGTTTAAGTGGCATCGTAAAATACATACATTTAAACCACAGGACATCTGCCTTTGCAAGAGGTGGTTTTGCTCACAATCAAGACTTCAGGAAGTGCATGCCTACAAATATCTAGTTTCATAATCACTCGTTGATGTAATATCTCGGCTAAGCCCAGCAACCCAAAGATGAGACCATCCACTACACTCCAGGGATCACTGGTCTTCTAATGAAGAACCCAGTTCCATAGTCGCCATGGCTGAGTGCCTCCCTCACCAAGCGTGACATACCGAACCCTTCATATTTGCTTCTTATCTAGAACACGCCCACAGTGCTGGCGCGTGGTCACGTGCCCATCTTCTAGCTTCACTTTGCTGTGCCCATGCTAGAAAGTTCACCTGCTCACACCACTGTGTAACATCCTAAAGTGCCAACCTCCCTCCAGTGCTGCCGGGGTAGTTCCATAAACTAACGGTGTGAAGGGCTTTTGGAGCCAAGTTCCATTGTCTTGATGGGGAAAAGGGGATAAAAACAGAATAACCCAGAAATAAAAGGACAAGAGAAAGTCCCAAAGGAGATTTGAGAAAGACCCTTCACTTTCCACTGCCTGTGCCTCAGAAATCACGTGACAGGGTTTAGAGGCACTGAACTATTAGAAGGAAAATCTAGCATTTGTTATGTTTTCTTTTGAGTCTTTCATTGTTGTTATTGGTGGTGCTTTGTTTATTTGGGGGTGGTGTCTGTCTCATCTTGGATTCCACAGCTGTAATCCGGTTCCTGCCATCAATGCTGACAAGCTAGCAACAGCCCCGCCCCCACGGGAAAAGGAACCAATCAGAAAGAAGAGAGAAGAGTTTGTGCTCCCTTAGTGTGTTCTTTTATTTCCCCTTTATTTTGCTGAGGAACTTGGTTTCTCAAACTCAGAAGCTTATCATTAATAATGATGTTCTTGTATTTTAATTCAAATGGCATTAGTCCAGGGCTCCAGCCACTAGAAATGAATGCAGGAGTATCCTGAAGAGAGCAAGGGCCTTGGTGTCGTAGCTCACCCAGGCCCATAAATGGAGAGCCCACACCAAGGATCACAAATCTGCTGTGAACCCGTGGGCAGGGTGGGAGCACCCCGAGTGCTCCTTACATGACTCGTGTTAGCTAGCTAAGTTAGTAGCTTCAACCACAGAAATTTATTGTCTAACATTTCTGGAGCCTCAGAGTTGAAGATCAGCATGTCTTCAGGGCCTCTCTCCTGAAGATGTGGGATTTGCTCCCTACCTCTCCCCCAGCTCTTGTAGGCTTGCTGACAATTATTTGGCTCTCTGGCTTCAGAAGCATCTTCAGTTCTTGGTTTTCTCCCGGGATGCCTGTCTATATGACTTGCCCTAGTTTCTATCCTTTGAAAAATATTATTTTTAAAGGTTTATTTTAGTGTGTGTGTGTGTGTGTGTTTGTGTTTGTGTGTGTTGGGATTAAAGGCATGCACCACCATGCCCAGCAATAAGTTTACATTTTAAAGGAGCTACATCCAAATAAGGTCACATTTACATGTACAAATACATAAAATTTTATGTATGCAGTTCAACTCATTAAAAGATACACACACACACACACACACACACACACATACACATATATATTTGTACTGAACATATTAGTTAGTGAACAGCGCAGTGTGAACATATTAGTGAACAGAGCCAAGGAAACCCTCGTGAGGGCATGGCTCACCACTTGTCCAGTGGACCACAGTTGGGGAATAGTTAACCCACAGCCATCAGGACGAGCTGCTTCTCTGCAGTTTATCTGCATTCAACTCAGCAAAGCCCCACTTGAGACGTGGAGCTCGAACTTGACCCTGCAGAGTCTCAGCCACGTGTGTCTGGGGCTGCTGCTGCTGCATTGTAATGGCCTGGCTAGTGGGAATTCCAGCCAGTACGCACTGGGGCATCCCCAAGGTTCCTCACAGACCTGTCTGGAGCCTGGAGTAGGGATACCATGACAAGGTAGCAAGATATGAAGACCTACAGGAAATTCTGTCTCCGGGGGCCCTTAGAGCAATCCACACAAGCAGCGGGCTGCGCACACTCCCAAGGAGACGGCTACTTGCAGGCCCTGCACACTGGGCTCCCATGAGGAAAGGAACCTGGTTGCCTTAATTGGCTACAGTATTTTTTTTAAGGAAGTGTGATGGTTTAGATGCCACATATGCTACAGAATTGAAGCAGTGAGATGAAGGATTTCTGGCCTCACGGTTGGTCTTGTCACATTCTTTAGGATGTCACATGTATCCGGAGCTGGAAGAAGTTCCAGCCGGTGGCTCCTTCTGACACACAGTTTATAGCGCTGGGAGAGGGAGATAAGACAGAGATGGTGTCCCTCACACTGGTGTGTCTTCCTTTCAGTTCCAAGTCATTTCTCTGTACGACTCCGAGGTCCTCAGAGGCCTGGAGCCATGGACAACTTACTGCATTCAAGTTCAAGGATTTCTTCTTGACCAAAACCGAACTGGAGAGTGGAGCAAGCCTATCTGTGAGCGGACAACCAACGATGGTGAGTGGGGACATGCGCAGCCTGGAATTGCCTCCTCAGAGTCCATGAGTCCACACCACGACAGTCAGCTCACATACCACCGCAGGTCAGAGATCAGCCTCCCCATCATCTGCGTGGTCCTCAGACCCTGATGGCTGCTTCATGCTATAAACGAGAGGCCCCATTCTGAGGAAACTGGCTGTCCCTCGCCAGTCTGCTGGGCTGAGGTCTGCCTCAGTGAACCCCCTTTACCACATTCCATTGCCCTGTCCACTCTCTGAAGTAGGTTAACTGGTCCTCATACAGTCACCCAGCAGAATGAGCCCTGCCACAGCTTGTCTTTCCTTCCCCGCATCTCTGACTTTGGGGACACACAATGACTGGGAAGGGGAGCCTGGAGCACATATCAGTGTCTCAGCTAGTACATTATGTTCTGAGGCCCCTTGTAAAATATGGAGCCAGGGCACAGTGGCATCCAGCAGGGCACTCTCCCCCATGTTTATTAACAGAACAATGGTCAGGGGGTGGTTTGGTGATAAAGGCCTTATCTAGCATGTGTGGCCTGGATTCTACCCCAGCACAAACTTCCCCTAACACACACACATATGTGCTGGGCAAGGGATAAGGGAGAAAAGGAGGGGAGAGGAGCAGGGAGGAGAGGCTTGATCCAAGAGGAGAGAGAGAAGACGTGCTGCTTAGCCTGGGTGCTGCCTATGCACAGATACGCTGTGCCTACCGTCAGATGAGACTATATTGCCCAACGTCTGTTAGTAGCCAAAGAACTGTCAAGAGGCAGTAATCTGGGAGCATGAGAGGCAGACACCTGTAGAGCTGCTGGTGCCATGAAATCTGATGTAAAAATCAGATCTAAAAATAAAATAAAACTACTTCAAGCCTGGTGTGGTGGCTCAGGCCTGTAATTCCTATAGTTGAGACCTAAGAGTCACCATGAGGTCTTGTTGGACTGTGCAGTGAGCTGCAGGCCGACTGAGGCCACAGAAGAAGGTTGTCTCCTGACGTGATCCAAACTTTTTTTTAAAGGAGAAATGCCCAAAGTCACTCTCAGCTAGTGAAGGACAAAGAGAACTGAGCAAAGGCCCTGTGTAAACGCAGCCCTGTTGCATTCTCTTTGCCTCATTGCCTACAGACTAATTCCAAAGGTAGACTGAGGCACCCAATCCTTAAAGTAAGACCAAGAAACATGTCTTCTGATAATACAGTCAAATAGGTCTGCAGGCAGGGGAAGAACCCGCCAAGCGTGTGGAGAGATAAATTACCCAGCAGTTCACACCCTTTCGAAGGCACCCTCCCCATCCTCAACCTCTGCTCTCTTCCTGAGAAAAAGCACAAATGTCACTGTCAGCCAGGTGTGGCCTTATCTAAAATACCAGGAAACTGGCTGCTATCACCCACCGCCCCACCTGGGAGCCTGGAACAGTGGCGCCTGCCACACTGGGGTGGAAGATTGCATGGATGATAAGTAAAGCCTGAAACTTCCTTAGGAAAGGTCTGAGATAGGATGATCTCATATTGCCAGACCCCTCTAGGAACCATTGTAAACACCAAGACCCTCCAGCCAGCTGTTTCTGGGCCATTATGACCAGATGAACCTGGTTTGGTTTTGTTTTTCTGGATTTCTCTATGTAATATTGGCTGTCCTGAAATTTGCTCTGTAGACCAGTCTGGTCTCAAACTCACAGAGATCCACCTGCCTCTGCCTCCCAAGTGCTGGGATTAAAAGCGTGCATCACCACTGCCCAGTCGGATGGGCCTGTTTTGACCACAGTGCTTGGAATGAGTGCATGATCCCTGTGACTCGCCCTGTGTGTGCACAGAGTCTAATCTACTCCACTGTCCCCTGCAGAAACAACCCCTTCCTGGATGGTGGCCATCATCCTGGTCACCTCTGTCTTCGTGGCCTTCCTCTTCCTCCTCGGCTTCTTTGTCTTGCTGTGGTTCATATATAAGAAGGCCAAGCACACCTTCCATTCTGGGACGTCGATTCCACAGCACCTGAAGGAGGTAGGCGGGATGCAGTAAGGGGCCTCTTCTCTTAGGTCAAGGCTGTCCAGTGCCGGGCAACATGTTCTACAAGAGCATGTTCTACATGCCCATGTGCTGGCCCATTCCCATGTGCCAAGGCAACAAAGGTTTGTTCTGAAATTCCTGGTCCTGGGTTGTTCCTTCTTCACTGCCCAGGTCATCGAGTCCTTGGGTTCAAAGGTGATGGTTCTGTCAGGGAGAGAGCAGAATTCACTGTGAGATGGGAGAAAACAGAATGCTCCACTCTGAACACTGACGAAGAGAGAGTGGAGGCAGGGAGAGGTGGACCGTGTTTTCATCCAGGAACGTCACCATGATTGGTGTTCTGGGGTGTGTATCATGGAAGGGGGGCTGTTTATGGAGATTTAGAGAGAAGCAGGAGTGTACTGGCTAAAGACTGTAAGACTGAGTAGTTCTTAAATGATATTCTGTGCTACGGCCAGCCTTCCGTGTGAGTGGGTTCTCTGTGTGTTGATCCAAACAAACGCAGATCACATATATTTTTTCAATTGTGTCTGTAACTGCTGGGGTCTACAGCTCAGGAGTAGAGCACTTGGCCCGTGTTCTAATTAGCCTTTTCTGTAGCTCTTATAAACACTGTGGCCTATAGCAACATGGAGAGGCAAGGGCTTATTTGGCTCACAGATTACAGTCCACCATAGAGGAAAACCGGAAGCTGAAGCAGAGAGTCTGGACGCTGTTTACCAACTTTCTTCCCCTGGTGTCCTCAGCCTGCTTTCCATACAGCCCAGGCCTATTTGTCTAGGGGTGGCACCACCCACAATGCTCTGGGCCCTTGCGTATCAATCAGCAATCAGAGGCACGCCTACAGGCCAGTCTGATGGAGGCAGCTCCTCTAGGTATGTCTGGCTTCTTGTCAAGTTTACAAAAGCCAACCAGCGCAAGCAGCATGGCTAATGTCCTGAGTTCAATCCCTGGTAGTGTGTGGTGCAAATTCTAATTGGTCTTAATAATAAAAACCCAGAGTCAGATATCGGGGTAAATGCTGAAAGAACAGAGAACAGAGACGTAAAGAAGGCAGCCATTAGAGAGACCTTTCCCACTACCGAATTCTCAGACCAAAGTGGGCAGGATCCTATCTCCACAAATCCTCAGACTGAATAAATGCCTTAAGCTCCTGTCTCCTCCCGCCTTATATTCCTCTCTCCACCCAGCCATATCCCTTCCTGTCTCCACCTCCCTAGTGCTGGCATTAAACATGTGAACCATCACTGCCTGGCTCTGTTTCTCTTTGAGACTGGATCAATCTCATGTAGCCTAGGCTGGCCTTGAACTCACAGAGATCTGTCTGCCTTTGCCTCCTGAGTGCTGGGATTAAAGGTGTGTGCCACCACTTCCTGGCCTCTATGGCTATCTAGTGGCTTTTAGCTCCGCACTCTGATCTTCAGGCAAGCTTTATTTGTTAGATCACAAACAAAATATCAAATGTAATATTCAGATACCGAAATGATGCTGTACTGAGTGCATGCTTGAAAAAAAAAAAACAAGAAAACTTTTCATATGGCATTTGCACTGTGTTGGATGGAATACACGGACGGTCTGGAAGTGATGGCAGAGGTCCCTAACGTCCCAACCTCCTTCCTGCCAGTCCCCTGACCACCAGCATTGCCAGTAACGTCCTCCAGTGATTCTGTGGCAACCCTGGTCTTGGGCTTCTTATTTATACACCAGGAGGCTGGTCACATTCCCTGGCTGAAGCCCAACCTGTGGAGGATTTGTTCCCATGATAGAATGTCCACAGACTATAACCACTTCCCTCCTACATCTGATCATGAGGATGGGGCTCCTGATGTGGTCTCAGTATAAACAGAAGGAGAACAGAGACAGGGGGCTGGGGAAACTGTACCACCCATGTGAGTGGTTGACTGGCAACCTCTGACCTCATATAAGGACAGGACGGGCCTAACGGCCATTCAGTAATTTCACTCTGTATAATAACAGAAGTAATTTCACTCTGTATAATAACAGAAGTGCTCTTTTTTTAAAAAAATAGTTTTATTCAAGATGGGGCAGGGAAATTTGTAATTCCTGGGTCCATGTCATGGTGAACAGAGGAGGAGTGGGGGAGAGGTGGTGGGAGTGGTGATCTGAGGTATACTTAGGGAAGTAAGGGAAAACATATTTAAGGGTAAACTGAGGCAAAGTACACTAGTAATTTTGAAACAACAACTCTGTCTGAAATTTCAGTAGCAACACTGATGCTGGCTCAATGTTTTGAGAAAAGCAACCACAACCACTTGGGTGAGTGTCCCTACAGAGGTGGCCTTTGTCTGAGGTTGTGGTTCAGTGGAGTATCTTGCCACAGCTGGGGTCATAGGGCAGACCGTGCAGGAAGCCCCTCCCTATGTGACCTCATGGTTCTGTTTTGCCTGGCTTTGACATCTTGCTGGTGCTGTGCACAGTGGCCACTTTGGGGCTGTATATTCGCCTAGTCTTCTCGGTCAGAGACCCCATCTTCACCAGGACCTCACAGGCCACACTGTGCTGCGGTGCATGGGCCAGTCTGAACTCATAGTTCCACCGTCTGCATTGCGATTCTCCTCAGGCAGTTGACCGTGAAGTCCGTCCAGTTTTTCCCTATCGCACACTTGGCAGATCTGCAGGGCCACACGTGCCAGGCTCGGTTAGCATGTAGTCACTGAGTCACATGCCAGCCCGAAGGCCTAAGTAAGACTGCCTGCTCCACAGCTCATCCATGCAGCAAGGCCCTTTTCCGGTCTGGCTCCTCCCAGTGCCTGCAGCCTCTCAATGAACACAGTGTGCCGTATTCCCACGAGTGGAATCTGCTGGTCAAGCAGCCAGAAGTACTTCCTTCTCAGTATGGGATGGATGATCCGTCGTTGACCTTCCTTGGTGTATCTTCTCCCTGAGGCTCCTCAAACTTGTCTGATGTACTAGGTCTCTGGTTCTTCCTAGGGAAAATCTCCCACTCGGTCCAGCTTTAACGATGCCATGGTCACTACCAGTCACTATGACAGCCAGTGTTCCCATACCAGATCCATGTGAATGACTGCAGAGGGGGACACAGGTCTTTTGCAATGAGTGTTGCTCCCAGAAAGGGACCCAGCTATGAGCAATTCCAGCTGCCAGAATTCCTAGAAGCTGGGGACACTTCGAGGGGGTTCTGGATACCACAGGACAGCACCCACCTCCATGGCTAGGAAGTAAGACCTGGGACCATAGCGTTTCTGAGCAGAGAGGATTTTTCTGGAAGGCGAGTGAGCAAGCGCTGCAGCAGCACAACTGAGCATCTCAGGGGCTGAGCGGGTATGAACCTTGTTGGAGCAAGAACAAAGAGGGGCAGGCCTCGGTTCTGGGTGGAAGACCTTTTGTTGCCTGAGAACCAGGAAGGAACTAAACTCTTCCCCCTGGTGTTTTTGCTGCTTGGCTTCACCATCAAAAAGAAACTGGCCAGACAGGAAGAAAGAGATGGATGAATCAAAGCTAGGCAAGTGCATTCAAGGGGCCAGTCTGACCGAGCCCCCACCTCTAAGGCCAGCAGGCCTCACAGTCACTGGGAGGGCGGTGGGGGCATGGAGAAGAGCTAGACAGTGAAGGCAAAGGAACTAGCACCCCCCATCGCCCCTCTCCAGTTCCACTCATGTTGCAGAGTGCATGCTAACTTGGCGTGTTCAATCAGGGGGGCTGACCTGAGGATGCTGGGTGGAGGGCTCAGCCTGGTGCTGAGGAACCCGTGGATGTTTCAGGAGGCTGACCTGGAACCCGTGGCTGTTCCAGTATTGCAGTATTTTATGAAACACAGGAAATCTAAAAAGCATCATTTCAATATTCAACCAGTATGTTTTAAGTTATTAAAATATTTTACATTTTTTATACAAAATCTTCAATATTTCATGTCTAATTCACACTCACACATCTCAGTTCTAACTAGGCACCTGTCAAGTGGCCAGTAGCCACACGTGGTCCTCGGCTACTGGACTGGACATTACCAGGTTAAAGGTCAAGATGGAGCACCAGAGAAGATACTGGTGAACTTGACCTGAGACACTTGAGATACACCATGAGTCCATCCATGGTGGATCCCCACCCACCGTCCCACCCCCGTCTCCCCCCACACACACACACCCTGCTTCCTAGAGGAAATGGCAGCCAGACGTGTCTTACTGCCTGGGGATCAGGCTAAGAGTGCACCTTGTTTTCCAGAACTAGTGGAGAGTGACATCTGAGCATTCTGTGGATAAGCCACCAGTTCTTGTTCTGCCTCTTAACCATGGAAAAACGCAGGCAGCATCTCCCACCTAAACCACACTTCGGAATGTAGCTCAGTGCCATTAGGCCACCAGCACCGCCAGCGCCACCAAGCACTCCCAGAGCCCGCTCCACGTGCATGGCAGGAACTCATACTGCTGAACGGTCCCTGGTGTTCCTTCCTGACAGCCACCATCCTAACATCCTCTGGATCACTCTAGATCCCTCCCATTATTGCAATCCCACACGCTGGTTATCTGCCTGTCTTTCTCTTTTTAAAGACAGGGTCTCATATAGCCAGGCTGGCCTCAAACTCATGATGTAGCCAGGAATGACTGAACTTCTGGGCTCCCCACCCCGCTTCCACCTCCCACAGGCTGGGATCAGGACCATGGGTGTGCACCTACCTGCCCAGTTGTCCTCTGCTGGGCAGTCGTCTGCCAGCTGATCTACATCTAGCGTAGGCTAGAGGACAGTTCTCAGGAGTTGGTTCTGTCCTGCCATGGAGGTGGGGGTCACACTCGGGTCACCAGGGGTGCGTGGAAAGCTCCTGTACCTGCCGAGCCATCTCATGGCCCAGAAGCTCCTCTTTCTTTAAGACTTCTGTCTTCAGTGCCACTGAAGTACCCGCGCACAGTGTGTGTGCGTCGTTTGCGTGCTCGTCCCTGGGTGACGCTTTGCGTGCTCGTCCCTGGGTGACGCTTGCGTTTGCTCTGCTATCCCAGCACTGTTTGCAGTTAAATAACTGAGTCTCTTCGGCTTTCATTTCCCTTGAGGGCATACCTGTGAGGTCATGTGGTAATTTTCTCAAGGAGCCACCCCAGTATTGCTGTTGCATTTTAAAGTTGCATCCTCTAGCCCTAAAGTTTTGCATACAATCCTTGTCAGCCCAGAAAAAGGAAGAAGAACGGGGGTGGGGAGGATTTGGTTCTTAAGTAACAGTCTTTAACTTTTCCGCAGTTTCTGGGCCATCCTCACCACAGCACTTTCCTGCTGTTCTCCTCCCCGCTCTCTGACGAGACTGAGGTGTTCGACAGACTGAGTATCGTCACTGAAGTGTCGAAAGGCAGCAGGCAGAATCCTGGAGACAGCTGTGCCCTGGGAACCCTGTGTGAGCCAGGACCTCAAGAGCTGGGATCCAAGGACAAATCCCCCTCACGGGCACAGGGCGAGCCCTTGCTTCTCACATCCACCTCAGAAGTGTGATCAGAAGGGCCAGCCGAGAAACTGGTGGCCAGTTGGGACTGGTGTTGTACTTGTACAGACAACCAAAGAGCCAGGCTTTCAACGCCCCGGTGAGAAAAATCCTCCATTTGGAAGTTCACAGCTTTATAAAAACTAATAGCTTAGGGGCTGAGGGTGTAGCTCAGCTGATAGAATGCTTACCCAAGATACATGAAGTCCTAGCTTCATTCCCCAACACCATATAAGCTAGGAATGGCGGTGACTGCCTTTAAGCACAACTCTTGGGAGGTAGAAGCAGGAGGGGCAGGAGGGGCAGGAGGGGCAGGAGTTCAGGGCCAAGCTGGACTGGAGACCCTGTCTAAAAAGGAAGAAGAGAGAGAGTCTTTAATAATTATTTTTTGAATGACCACTGAATGTAATTTGAGCCCTTTTTGCTCGCTGAAGCTGGAACCACATTTAAATTGTGACAAACAGAAATAAGGGACAAAACTGCAAACACTGTAAGACCGTAAGAATGCTGTAGACTGCCCTCATCTCAGGGTCGGCCCTATGCTGGACAGACATGGATGTTTTGGATTCTCAAGGATCAAAGAGAGTTCCTTCCTACCTGTGTGTTTTGTATAGTACTGGTGTTCTATGAATATTCTGTATTTGTTTATTTGTGTTTTCTCGATTTCTGCTGTTGTAATAAATACCTGACATAAACTATTTAAAAGGAAGAAAGATGTTTTGTAATGTTGTGTCTAGACTTCAGAGGTTTCTGTTCCTGATCTCTCTGCCCCTTTCTTTTGGGGCTGTATTCTGGCGCATTACATCACAGGGAATACGTGCTAGACCCTGTTCACTTCATGGTAGGCAGGAAATGAAAAGGTGTGGGGAGGGTCAGGGTCCTACGAAACTTCTTCAGGGCGATCTTTCCATAACCTAACTCCCTCCTTCCAGGCTCTACTTCTTCCGATTGCACTACTTTCCAACAGCACCACAAGCTGGCCACCATTGTCCCCACATCTCATTGTTTAGCTATGGGATTGGGGACACTGAAGATCTAAGCCGTAGGAGAATTAGGTACCACACTAGTGCAACTTTTAAAATATGTATGGAAGAAACCCCTTTGGTCGCTGTCCAGACAGCCACTACTTGTTGATGTTGAGCTCGTAATCTTATTCAGTAGGGATGAATCTCCGTCTGGGATGGATCCAAAACCAGGAAAGTCCTGGGCTTTGTCCACTCGGACATTTCCTAGCCTGTGACCTCTCTGCTTGACCCATCTGTGGGGTTGAGAAGACAATGATTAAAGATACAAATGTAGAAAGTGGCTACCCCAGGGCCAGCACAAATAGTCCCTTGATAGACAGTGTCTGTTCTTAACCAACTGTATGATCCAGTAGGTGTGATCAATAACAAACATCCCCATTCTGTGCCAGACGGACAATAAAGAAGATCCATCAAAGGCCTCCAAAGAGGAAAACAAACTTTGAATCTGTTTGAGACTGGGCTGTGGATGTAGCTCAGTAACAAGGCCCTTGTCTAGCATGAGCAAGGCCCTGACCACCACTGCCACCCCTGTATCAGTCAGGTCTCTATTGCAGTGCCATGATCAAAAGCAACTTGGAAAGGAAAAGGTTTGTGTGTCTCACAGCTTAACTGTCCCTCATCAGGGGAAACCAGAGCAAGAACTGAAGCAGAGACCATCAAGGAATGCTGCCTCCTGGCTTGTTCAGTTTGGCTTTTCATAGACAGCACCTCCCTCAGTGAGCTGGGACCTCCCACATCAATCAAGAAAATTCCCCATGCACTTGTCCACAGACAGAGTGATGGGGGCATTTTCTCGAATGGGATTCTTTTAACTCAGATGACTCAGATGACTTGAACCAAGTTGACAGAAAGCAAACACACACACACACACACACACACACACACACACACCATTTTAAAAACAAAAACAGAAAAAGAACGTGGTTTATGAGCCAAACACGCCTTCCTGAACCCGTTGCTTCCAGCTCTCGACTAGGACAACCTCACTCTGCTGACCTGCCAGCAATCGCTGTGCCTCTTGCTCTCTCTTCTGAGAAGCCAAAGCTGTGAGGAACTCCACACAAAACCACAATGTTCAACTCAATGGGAATAAGAGAGAGTTTGTTCTGGAGCTAATTATGAGTGGCCAGGGCTCAGAACACAGAGTTGGGTTCTCTCAAATATGATGTTCCAACATAGGAGGCGGGGCTCTTCTGGTCAGAAAACAGTTACCGATATGAAATAAAGACAGATTCAGATAAATTTGTGATTCTAAATGGGTCACAGTGTTGGGTAAATACACATAGGCTTGGGAGATAGAAGAAAAAGAATATAGACAGTTATAAAAATAAGCAAATCATTTAAAAAAATAAAACAAAGTCTTTAAAGAGGCAGCGTACAGACAGTCATAGACTAAAAGGAGTAAAAAAAATAAGCCATGTAAAGATAGAAAATACACAGAAAATCTGGATTTTGTATATTGTTTTGTTTTCTTTGAATTTTTTGACTGTGAAGGAGCTAAGCACAGAGAGACATTTTATTGTATGGGCTACTAAGCTAAACCAACATATATGTTTTAAAAGTATCCTGACTTCAGAATTTGGGTCTAAGGATTGTTGCTTTGGAAAAGAGGTTCTGCTTTTGTTTTCACAGAGGATAACAATCTATGAATTTCTTCCGGCCTAATATGGTTTGATGGACCAAGACCACCTGAAAGTTTTCTGTGAACACCCCTCAAAAGAAAATACTTCACCCAACAAAAAAGCAGGAAGCAGTTTGGAGAGAACTATTCCCAAATTCCTGAAATTATTGTTTATAAATGTCTGTTTACATTTAAAAGAGAATATGCTATAGAAATGAATATTTTGCATTGGTGTGGATCTTAGTTTATTAATACAAATTTAAGGTCAATTTTGTTGTATATATTTTTCTGCTCTTGATTAAGGTATTGTGGTTGTGCAGCTCATTTTAAAATGTAATGTCTAATTAAGAAATATAGGTCAATAGAGAGTCATCTATAATAGTCAAGTTTGTAGTCATGTTAGTTAGGTTTTCTAGATGTACAGAGATATATTTCAGATGGATAGGGATTCTTCAAATCTTTCCAAGGCCTTCAGAATATGGCATTTAAAATGTTTTAAGGACTTAGGACTTTTCATGACAATGAGACACATCTGCTCCTGGCAGCACCAGTCTACTTCAAGAGGAAGATGGGCATTGAAGAGGCCCCTTGTGGAGTTTGCTAGCCATTTGTGCAATAAACTCCTCTTTCCTGGACTGCTTGATGGTATGCTATATAAACTGGACATACAGGACCCACAAAGAAATGACTGCTGAAGTTGCCTAACGAAGGTGAGACCATCCTTCAGGGTTCTTGCTTCATGAAAGAGTCTGCAAGATATTCTGCAGGACACAGAATGAAAGTGACTAACAAACTGCCAATATAGGTGGGACCATTTTTGAAATTTCCTGCTTCATGGAAAAGTCTTTTGGATACTATGGGCCAGTAGGCTAAAGATGGATGCTGCAACAATACAGAAGAACTTTGGGTGACTGTCCAGGCAGTGAGATGTCTCTGTCAATTCTAGAGTTTTGAAAGTTGCTTACAATGCACTTCCTGTTTACTTAGGTACTATTATATCCTTCTGGATTCTTTGATGGAGTTGAAGAATATATAGTTATAGTTTTCCTTAGTTATAATAAAAGATAAAGTAGATATAAATATCGTAACTGTAATTCTTGCCTGATACCTTGTTGTTATATGTAATTTTACTATGATAAAGTTAAAACTTTCCTTTTTATTTAAACAGAAAATGGGAAATGGTGTGGGAAGTCCTTCTGTCTATATTTTGCTTTTATTGGTTAATGAATAAAGCTGTTTCAGCCAGTGGCTTAGCAGAATAGGGCAAGGTGGGAGTTCCAAGTAGATAGAGGAGGAGAGAGAAAGCGGAGTCAAAGAGAAGCCATGTAGCCCCATCAGAGACATTGGACAGAACTTTACCCGGTAAGCCACAGCCACATGGCAATACACAGATTAATAGGAATAGGTTAACCAAAGATATAGGAGCTAGCTAGCAATACACTCAAGGGGTTATTCAAACAGTGATTTAAATAATATAGTTTCTAAATGGTTATTTTGTGGTCTGGGTAGCCAGGAATGAACAAGTGGCCTCCTACAACAAGCTACCACTTGGAAGAACCTGGGGTGAAGCTCATCCAGAAGCCAATGCTTTTTATTAAAGAGTTATTCTACATTCAAACTTGCACTTAACCAAACAGAGGCTGTTTGGTTGACTACAATCTGTGATAGAAAATCCTCTTAGGCATGTCATTGCATGTGACATGGGAATCTATACTACAATTTATATAAGGGACCAGAATTGATAAGGAAAGATAGATTTACTTTCAGCCAGAATTTGGGACAGAAGAAAACTCGATCTCTCTCTCCCTTGCCCATAGCATTGTCGCTATTTATAGAAATCATGAAACAAAATTAGAAATGCAAACATTTGGTCGTGAACTCAAGCAATCAGAAGTGGGAAGTGGAAAGTCAAGCTGTCAATCAGAACTGGGAGGTGGGTCATATCTACCAAAGGTAAGGCCAGCCTCTGGGTCAGCACACCAACCATGGACTTCCCACAGAAATTATAAGTCTTAGGACCTGTGAACATGAAAACAGCTCTCACAGCTAAAGAAGAAAGCTGTTTTATTCTGGAGCTAAATATGAGTGGCCATGGCTGGGGAGCAGAGACTCAGGCTGCCCCCAGTACCAGGCTTTGACCCAGCAGCAGTTTTGTCTGTTACAGACCTTAGACACTGACAGCTTTCCTTAGCTGATAAGAATGTTTGAAGTTGGTGAACTCTAAGGGGTCTGTTCATGCAGTCCAAAGGATTTACCTGACAGTCACAAGGATGCTATACCACATGCAGAGGTGAGCAAGACTTGACAAAGGTGAGGGTAAATATAGCCCAGAGTGATTTGTCTCTGGACTTGTACCATTCCATCCTCTTACGTCACTGAAGTTCTAACCAATCGGCCTTAGCAGTCACAACTTCATCGCAGAAGCCGGGGTTCATGGTTCCTCATGCTGGCCAAACATCCCATTCTGTGCATGTGAGGGACAGATGTCATCTCATTGAACATTTACTGCCTCACGTTGCTGGGAAGGTTCTTCCCAAGGATCTCATATGAATGAGGCGGAGTAAGCAGGAAAGCCGTCTTTAGGATGGAGGAACAGCCAGTCACTTCAACAAGGTCATACCAAACCTCTTACCCGTCGTGAACCCGACTTGATGGCTTTGTCCTCGGCACACACTACGACATTTCCATGCCACATGTGATAGGAAGCAAGAGCAAGTCTGGCCAGATGAACTAAACATAGCAAACAAAGGAAGCAGGCATCCTAAGCGACCCATAATTCAGCACCTGTCATCACACTCCTTACCTGGACGGATGATGTATTCTTCCCCTGTGTCTACAGTCATTTGTACAAACTTGATTTACTGTTTGGGATATGTGAAATAATCCGTTATCCTTTGTTCTTATGACAAGTTTGGCTCCACAGCTACAATCCCGTGTGGAGTGGCTAGCTCTAAATCTAGGAAAGGCTGGTCTTCTGTATCTAAATTATTTATAGGTAACAAAGAACTTGATCTGCCCTGCTATCAAGCTCCACCTTGAGGAAGTAAATGGACAGTCAC